TCATCTCTGTCTTAAACAACATCTTGGAGAAACATTCTCCCCATCCCAAACTTTCCGTATACATTATAAGCAGTCAGAACACCTTCAAAAGCTGGGTAATCAGCTTCAGGGATATATTTTTTTATACCTACCTTCCCAACATTCTATGCTCTGCTATCTACAAACTGTAAAGCTCATGAATTAATGAAAATTATTTAAAAAATTGAATTATTGTAAAAAATCTACACAAATAAACCTGTATCTGCTATCACACCAAAGTCAGAAAAACACATTTCTATTTCAGCTTGCATTCAATATATGATCTGTTACTTTACAAGAAGTGTTATTTCATTTCAAACTATTGTATTCATTAATGCTATATGATTACCCAAATGCTCCACAGAGAAAAAGTCACCTCTGTCACAGGATTACACATGAAAAATTTCAGGCAGACTTGAGTATTTACGATGCAATTAGATGGATGTCAACTTCCTGCCTTTTATATCCTTCATAGAATCACAGAATGGTTTGGGTTGGAAGGGACTGTTGAAGTTTTAGCACAAAACTAGTGCTATTGCTACACTCCCTGTTAAAAGAGTCCCTCCTCATCTTTCCTGTAGCCCCACTTTCGGTACTGGAAGGCTGCTGTAAGGTGTCCCCAGAGCCTTCTCTTCTCCAGGATGAACAACCTCAACTCTCTCAGCCTGTCCTCACAGGGGAGGTGCTCCAGGCCCCTGATCACCTTTGTGGCCCTCCTCTGGACCTGCTCAAGCAGGTCCATGTCTTTCTTATGTGGGGACCCCAGAGCTGAAGGTAGTACTACAGGTGGGGTCTCATAACAGCAGAGTAGAGGGGAAGAATCACCTCCCTCGACCTGCTGGTCACAGTTCTTTTGATGCAGCTCAGGATATGATTGGCTTTCTGGGCTGCGAGTGCACATTGCTGGCTCATATTCAGTTTTTCATCCACTAATACCCCCAAGTCCTCTGCAGGGCTGCTCTCAATCTACTCATCACCCAGCCTGTATTTGTGCTTGGGATTGCCTCGACTCACATGCAGGACCTTGCACTTGGCCTTGTTGAACTTCATGAGGTTCACACTGGCCCACCTCTCAAGCCTGCCCAGGTCCCTCTGGATGGCATCCCTTCCCTCCAGTGTGTCAACTGCACCACACAGCTTGGTGTCATCAGCAAACTTGCTGAGGGTGCGCTCAATCCCACTGTCCATGTCGCCGACAAAGATGTTAAATCGTGCCGGTCCCAATACTGACCCCTGAGGAATGCCACTTGTCACTGGTCTCCACTTGAACATCGAGCCACTGACCGCAACTCTTTGAGTGTGACCATCCAGCCAATTCCTTATCCACTGAGTGGTCCATCCATCAAATCCATGTCTCTCCAATTTAGAGACAAGGATGGTGTGAGGGACAGTGTCAAATGCTTTGCACAAGTCCAGGTAGATGACGTCAGTTGCTCTTCCCTTATCCACCAATGCTGTAACACTGTTGTAGAAGGCCACCAAATTTGTCAGGCACCATTTGCCCTTAGTGAAGTCATGTTGGCTGTCACCAATCACCTCCTTATTTTCCATGTGCCTCAGCACAGTTTCCAGGAGGATCTGCTCCATGATCTTGCTGGACACAGAGGTGAGACTGACTGGCCTGTAGTTCCCTGGGTCTTCCTTTTTTCCCTTTTTAAAAATGGGGGTTATGTTTTCCCTTTTCCAGTCAGTGGAAACTTCCCCAGTCTGCCACGACTTCTCAGATATGATGGTTAGTGTCTTAGCCACTTCCTCCACCAGTTGCCTCAGGACCTGCGGATGCATCTCATCAGGTTCCATGGACTTGTGCACCTTCAGGTTCCTTAGATGGTCTTGAACCTGATCTTCTCCCACAGTGGCTGGTTCTTCATTCTCCCACTCTCTGCCTTTGCCTTCTGCATCTTGAGCGGTGTCGCTGAAGCACTTGCCGGTGAAGACTGAGGCAAAGAAGCCATTGAGTACCTCAACCTTCTCCATATCCCGGGTAACCAGGTCTCCCATTTCCATCCAGAGAGGGACCACATTTTCCCTAGTCTTCCATTTATCACTGACGTACCTGTAGAAGCTTTTCTTGTTGCCCTTGACATCCCTGGCCAGATTTCATTCTATCAAGGCTTTGGCTTTCCTAACCTGATCCCTGGCTGCTCAGGCAATTTCTCTGTATTCCTCCCAGGCTACCTGTCCTTGCTTCCACCCTCTGTAGGCTTCCTTTTCGTGTTTGAGTTTGCCCATGAGCAGCTTGTCCATCCATGCAGGCCTCCTGGCGTTTTTGCCTGACTTCCTCTTTGTTGGGATGCTTCGCTCCTGAACTTGGAGGAGGTGATCCCTGAACATTAAACAGCTTTCTTGGGTCCCTCTTCCCTCCAGGGCTTTATCCCACGGTGCTCTACCAAGCAGATCCCTGAAGAGACCAAAGTCTGCTCTCCTAAGTCCAGAGTAGTGAGCTTGCTGTGCACCTTCCTCGCTGCCCCAAGGATCTTGAACTCCACCATTTCATTGTCACTGCAGCCAAGGCTTCTCTTGAGCTTCACATTCCCCACCAGCCCCTCCTTGTTGGTGAGAACAAGGTCCAGCATAGCACCTCTCCTTGCTGGCTCCTCCATCACTTGGAGAAGGAAGTTGTCATCAATGCATTCCAGGAACCTCCTGGATTGCTTATGCCCTGCTGTGTTGTCCCTCCAACAGATACCGGAGTGGTTGAAGTCCCCCATGAGGACCAGGGCTTGTGAACATGAGGCTGCTCCTATCTGTCTATAGAGGGCCTCATCCGCTCAGTCTTCCTGATCAGGTGGCCTGTAGCAGACCCCCACTATAATGTCACCTGTCCCTGCCCTCCCTTTAATCCTGTCCCATAGGCTCTTGGTCAGCTCCTCATACATCCCCAGGCATCGCTCCATGCACTTCAGCTGGTCATTGACAGAGAGTGTGACACCCCCTCCTCGTCTCCCCTGCCTGTCTTTCATAAAGAGCCTGTATCCTTCCATTCCAACACTCCAGTCATAGGAGCCATCCCACCTTAACTAGGGAGAAATCACTGTGCTGATAATAACCGTCTATCTTGGCAACAGACTTTCAAAGAGTACTGTACTACGTAATTCTTCACATTAGTCTTTAGGAAATATAGCAGTGTCACAATAGATGGTTTAAGGCCTCTTAGAGAGGACTAGAATAGTTCATCAGTATTCCTTTCACAGAATTTACAGTTGAGATGTCAGCCTCCAAACTCCATGTGTAAATGAGGGCAATTGTACAAGGAAACCCTTTTGCGACCACCCCTAGAGAGTTGCCACACCCATGCTAGGGACGCTGAAGGAGAGGCACGAGGCTGCAATAATATTTACATGTATTTTCAAAAGCAGTTGGTGATACAGTGTGATGATTCTACTCTTCCTTAGTGTGTGGTGGGGTTTTGGTAGCAGGGGAGGGGGCTGCAGGGGTGGCTCCTGTGAGAAGCTTCTAGAAGCTCCCCCGGCTCCAAGCCAGACCCGCCTCTGGCCAAGGCCGAGCCCATCAGCAACGGTGGTAGCGCCTCTGGGATAAAAGATTTAAGAAGGGGAACCTGCAGCAGGGGAGGAGATTGGAATGTGAGCGGATCCCCTGTGCAGATACCGAGGTCAGTGAAGAAGGAGGTGGAGGGGGAGGTTGATGCCCCTGCAGCCCATGATGAGGCAGCAGGCTGCCCCCCCAGCCACGGCGGCGAGCAGGGGAGCAGATGCCCACCTGCAGGCTGTGGAGAAGCCTGCACCGGAGCAGGGGGATGCCCCCGAAGATGGCCGTGACTCCATGGGAAAGATCGGCCCATGGAAAGGAACCATGCCAGAGAAGTTGGTGAAGGGCTGTCTCCCGCGGGAGGGACCCCACGCCGGAGCAGGGGACGAGTGAGGAGTCCTCCCCCTGAGGAGGAAGGAGCGGCAGAGACAAGGGGTGGTGAGCTGACCCCGACCCCCATTCCCCGTCCCCCATTCCCCATCCCCCTGTGCCACTTGGAGGCGGGAGGTGGAGAGAACCGGGAGTGGGGCTGAGGCAGGAAGGCGGGAGGGCTCGGGGGAAGCTGTTCTCAGGTTGGGTTTTACTTCTCATTATCCTTGTTTTGATTTGATTGGTAGTAAGTTAAATTGATTTTGTTTCTTCCCCGAGTTGAGCCTGTCTTTTGCCTGTGACCATTAAGTGGTGAGTGATCCCTCCCAGTCCTTGTCTCGACCCACGAGCGTTTCTTTATATTTTCTCTTCCTCATCCTACTGGGGCTGGGGTGGGTGTGGGGGGCAGGGGAAGGAGTGAGCGAGCAGCTTCATGGTGCTTTGTTACCGGCTGGGCTTAAACCACGACACTTAGTCACAGACTAATCACCACCACAAATGTCCCTTTCAATGCAATGTATCAAAGCTACTGACCACTTGAACAAAGGACATCATTCTGTTAGTGCTTCCTTACTGAGGCGATTTCTAAAGCAACATTACTGTCTTTTGATTATTTGTTTATTAAAAAGGCAAAGGAAGCATACATGGAGACTTCTAGGCTGCAATTTAAATGCAGCATCAAATCAGAAGGAATATAGCTTGCCTCTTAGCAGCTGCTAGATGGCTTCTGGTCCATCAGGGCCTCTAACATGGCCCTTTGGAGCATAATGCAATAGGCCTGAAGGCTTTGTGGTCACAATCTTAGTTTCACACATACAAGGGTGCCCATGCAGGGTGATATTTTGGATTACACCTTTTACTGTGATATAATGGAAAGGTGCATCTCCTCACTGCCAGTCACTGCTCATGTGATTTTGTCAAACCATAAAATATCAATACTAAATACTTTTAAAAACCCACATAGCTTTCTAATAGTATTTTCAAATCTCAGGATGGAAGCAGCATGTGTTTTAATCACCAGGAAGAAGTCCAAAAATCCAATTTCTACATGCTGATTTGAGTGTGATGCTATTTATAGCTTCTGTCCTGAACTGGGAATATCACTTTATTACATGATATCTTACCATCATCCTTGTCAGGTACAATAGTAATTCGAGCTCTTGGGAATTCTGCACCAATTCTTCCACCCATTGGCATGCTCAGCAAAACATCAAAGGTCTCAGCCTCTTCATACAAGGAATCATCTATGACAACGATCCGACACATTTTTTCTCGTTCATCTTTGTCAAAACGTAGAACGCTGTTGTGATCCTCAGGCCTGGATATGTAGTCAGAGTAAGAAAGTACAGAGGTTGGGACAGTGCCAGATGCTGTTCCTGTGGCATAAAAGGAAAAAAGTTACTATACATACCATGGTTATAATGATCCCCTCACAGGAGTTGAATTTTATTTTCATTATCTTTTAATTTCTATTTACTTTTAGGTGACAAGATGAGCTGAAACCTCTGACCAGGCTATATTTATGAGGCCCCTGGATGAACTTCTTCTGTATATGATGCAATGCAAGCACATGGCTCCTCAAATTCATTTCCAGTTTTTCAGTCAGAAGGAATATGGTAGCCTATCACAACAGACACAAACTGACAAAGGAGACCCTGCGAGGATTACCAGTTAACTCCCTTAGTATATTTTACCCATTGAAGATAGTGGTGGACCAGAAATTAACTATAACAGACAGAATTTGATGAAAACAAATTATTTTGATTCTAGGTCACCTCACCAAAAATGTTGCTTCATCTCTCCGGATGAAAAGTAAATAACAAAAGCACAGGTGTAGAGACTCCATGCTCTGCACGGATATAATTAATAGGAGATAGAAAGACAGAGGAAGGAGAAGCATGGCAATTAAGCAATATTATTTTATACCAATTTTTTCAAGTTACAAACAAGTAAAGGATATCCTGGGCAATCACTGCAGTGCTTTCAGTTCTCATCACTTTCAGAGATATATGGGGCTGCATATAAAAATCTTGCAAAAAGATAAAGAACACAGATCCTCTTCACCTCCTAACAAATGGCAGAAATTTGGAACATGATAATTTTTCAGCTGTATTCAATAATACTCTAAGACACATTACAAAGATGAATGCTTTTCCAGTTGAGACTGAAAATATTTAGATGAAAAAGTAATTAACAGAATTATAAACAATTTTATTATGCAACAGATGGAACAATTCTTTTTCCTTTTCTGTCTCTTTTCCATTTTGCCTTTTTTTTCCTATAGTAGATTCTGTTACCTTGTTGTGTGTAGCAGATAACCATCAGTTCCTGGCTCACATCTCCACTTCTTCTGACTGGAATAAATAATTCACCAACATCTTCTTCAATAGTATAGGTGGACTGAGGAATAAAGACAGTTGATTCTGCAAAGAACAGACACATTTGTTTATGTAGATTTATGGCCTCATAAAGTCACTTGTAAAATAGCTAGGACCATTTTAGCATATTCTGAAGTGCAACAAATAACTCCTATTTATCAGTGATGGCACTAGATTTTAAGAAAAACTTGGAGAGTGAGCAAAGTAGAGTTTCTTAGTCTTTCAGAAATGGAAAAGAAAATCAGATCATTAGGTCTGAATTCACAAATCCTTACTAAGTAGTCTCTAATGTGACTAATTTACTTATCTAGGGTTAATGGTGCAAGACAGTTTTTGGAGAATTTGTCCACAAGGTCTACATTTTTATTATTTCCATGGTATTTTATTATTAACTGTTAATCACAGAAATATCAATAGCATAGCTCACACACAGGCAGTGGTTCTTCAAGGCCATTCTTGAACTTACTGCATCAAGAGAACCTTGAAAATAATTTGGCATTGAGGATGCAAGATTGAGCTCTTGCTATCTTATTGTGACTTGGACATTTGATTTGAATTCACTACATGTCTACGCTCCTGTTTTACTCACAGGAGACCTAGCCAATACAGTCAGTGAAGTGTGGAGAGAAATCTCACCCTAAAATGTATCAGACCAAAGAATGTCAGATCTGTTTTTCAGGGAAATGCATTTTAAACTCCTTCATTATTTTATACTCATATAAAGAGATTGCTGAGTTTTATCCTGTTACTGGGATTCAGGATCAATTTTGTTCTTTTTCTCTCAAAACCTCATGAACCAAAGGTAGTTATGCACATAATTATAAGGCGCCTTTACAGTTTCATTTGTATGACTACAATGCAAACAGGATATAATTCTGTATAATATCAAATCAAGTGGTATCAGCTGACTGCACAAAGCAAATCTTTTATTTCAGAGTACTTTGGCAAACAATGTTCTGAAAATTGTCATGCGACTTCTTTGAAAACATGTGCCAGGTTTTATGTCTCCAACTGGAAAATGAATTCAACTACTAGCATGACTTAAGGTCAAAAGCCTGCCTTAAAAATGCTGTAATTCAGGTTTGATAAGATCTGGACACTTTCACTATTCCAGCAAGTCAAAAATTCAATGTGAAAACCACCAAATCCCTACTTTTTTGTTTTAAAGTAAACCAAAAGGTAACACTAAGAAAAATCCAATTTGTTCCTTTTATTTCTCCCTTTAGAATTAAGTTGACAAAATTAAAAACTCTATCCTTCAAAAAAAAAAGCAGGAATCTGATTTGTTCTGTTTCCCATCTCTCTCATAATTATCCAACTAGGAGTAAAATGACACTATAAAAGTTTAACAGACCTCACGAACAACATAAAAGCCCAGAGGAGAATGATCTACACCATCTCACCTAGTATAAGAAAACACATAGTTATGCAATCTCTTTTTGGAATAAAACATTAACTAATATCCCATACACCAAGGGGCTGGTATGGCTTTCCAAACAAGCTCACTATTTTGGTGCTAAGACTACACCATTCAAATCAATGAATTTTAAAACCATTTTCACTGGATGCAGAATAAGACTTTTGATGGTTCCTATTCAGCTAGCTTCTGATCTTGTTATACCCTACGCTTTCATAGACTATTAGGAAACCCAGTCCTTCCCCTCAAAGTTCTCTCTATAATTTTCCTGTAGATATTCCTTGATTTGCAGTTATGCATTTGATTTTCTCCTATGCAACTTCACTTTATGTATAATTACTACAAATTCTCTGGGACTGCAAAAATTTTATGTTAATATAAGAAATAGAAAAAACTATCATTGGCATTAAGAAGACTCAGACGATTATCTTGAATTGTGCTATCTCACTGCTCATAGAAAAAATAGATTTAACACATTTTCAAGCAATTTCTGTGTCTCATACATACTGCTTTTTAAGTTAAGCACTATTTTTCTCAGTGACTAAATATGGATGTCAGATAACCTCTGGTTTAACTTGCATTTGTAACTAGGAACTAAGAAACCTCTGACAATTTTGCTGCCCAGTCCTCTTCAAATGTGAATTAGGGAAGACTACATAAAACAAGCTGTTACAGTTGTCCAATGTTTGAAAGACTCCTTAAGGACAGTTTTGTGTGACCACAGCCCATGGGTTCAAGTGTCTAGATGCAGCTGAAAAGCAAAGCAACCAGAGTACATTCTACCTTTTTTTTTAAACAGTTTCTTTCTTCATTTACATTTCACTATAATTTTATTTGTTCTTGACACAGCTTGTGCTGTACTTGGTCTAGTGAACCTTACCCTTACTGAGCTTCTCAGCTTGATGATATTAAGGCCTAACGGATGCAGCTAGTCTGCTTCAGGACCCTAACTCGTTGGGACCAACCATCCTGGATTTTCCTGTACCATCCTCTCCCACATGAATTACCATGGCAGAGTAAATCAAGTCAGCCTCCAGGCACCTGTGCAGATACGCTCTGTTTGCAAACACATTGAATCAAAAAACTATTGTACCTAAAATGAAAACAAAACTAAACAAAACAAAAACCCTAGAAATAATATATCATAGGAAAAAATGCAGGTATTTCATCAAAGCATGCTACCTTAGTTACATATTCATGAATCACTTAAAAGTGATAGAGGACAAACAGCTACCCAATGCCCAGGTCTGTCTTCAGAAATATTCTGAGGAAAGGTAAGCTTTACTATCCACTGTTACACATAGCATTTGCCCTCCAGTTTATCTTTTGGTATATGAACTTATTTGCAGTAAAGTTCTGGAAAGGTTCTTACCATCTCCTGGGTCAATAATTTCCACTGTGGATACATCAGGAAATTCCAGAACTGCCATGACTGGCTCAGAAAGAACAATTTGAAAGGACTCAGACTGTTCATGTTCACCATCACTCAAAATCCGTACTCGCCACGTAGCTAAGGTTTGGCCAGGATTAAACTGCACCTGCTTCTGGGCTTTTCCTCTGAAGTCTTTATCTTTCTTGGCAGTACCATCTTTGGTGCCAATACCTGCCAAAATCAGAAATTCAGGTCATTAAAAACATCACTTGTAACTTTTCTCTCATTATGTAACCTTTAAAAAAAGAAGTTTTAGAAAAATATACTTTTCACAACCTGAGTGTACTCAAGCCAACTCTGTTACTCTTGATCAATTTTATATTGGTGTCACACATAGAGGTGGAAGCACATCAACTAACATTATGAAAGGCACTTTGGACAGAATTAGCCAAAGTAAAACTAACTACTAGAAAAACTCTACATTCTCTGAGGTTACAGACAAGTTTCCATTTCTCCGTAATTCAACTATGGATGCCCAAAAGGGCCAACAGATTTTCCCCTGCTTTTTAACATTCTGGGTTCTATTCTGTTCCAGAACATCTAAATAACATGTTGCCTGAAACCCTCAAAAACATTTATTTCTCTTAGAAAAAATAAAAACACACTTGGAAAGTTCAGCCTTCAAGGGGAAAGCTAAGGAAAAACAAAGATACAAAGGAGTAAAACATATGGAATAAGGATGAAATAAGATGTAAAATCTGAACCCTTGTGGCCATTCCCACTACAATAAGCATTTTTTTAAAAATTATTATCCTCTTATTTCAGTGTTTATATAATGACAATCATTAAACTGAAATCAAGTTGAAACTTCAAAGCCATGGGACAAAATCCAACATAGCTGATCCCACAGAGACAGCACAGACCTTACAGCCTCAGACCCGGGCTGCTCTAAAATGGCTTTTCCCTCCCAGTTTAAGGCTGTCTGACAGGCCCTCATGGAAATTAGACAATCCTTCAGAACTATCTCCAACTCATGCATTTGGCCTCTGTTTGAACCCCACAGTACCACTCAAATCTTAAAGGTCTCTCTCAGGTTTTCAGAAAAAACTTAAAAGTTCTCCCTTCTCTGCCTGTTTCTTCCAACTGTATCACTAATGCATTAAAACATATCACCATTCCCTACAAATCTTGCCTTTCTTGCTTCCTGCTAGTGCCTCTTCCTAAGTCATAGCCAATATTTTACATAACCTCTAACCCTTCAGTCCCTTTGGCACTGCACATGGACCAGAAAGGCTAGTAAGCATCTTAACCAATATCTTTTATGTTCTTTCCAACTCTGTTATTCCATTTTGTAGGATTAAGGTAGTCAGAGGCAAGTTATTCAAACTGCTTTTGCTGGATTTGGAGTCAGCTCAATTCAGAAACCGAACTTGAATCCATAGGCAGAAAATTTTGTAAACACTCTATTTGAGGGATCAGAAGTCAAATCAGTATCTGTTAATCAGTACGAGTAATTAATCTAAACCACACATCTTTAACTTTGTATTTCATTAATCTCTTTTATTCTTTTAGTTCATTTAAAAGAAATATATTATCAAAGTTAGTTCACTGTTCAAAACAGAGCCTTTTAAGTTAGATTAGGTTAGTTAGTGCCTATATCCCTTAAATCTCATGCCAAAATAGGTGTCCTAACTACATCTCAATACCTAAAACTCAGATTCTTATTCAGAATGAGACTTAAACAGAAACCTGATTTCTAAGCATGAGCTTGTTCTCCATGCCAGGTAAATGGTTACATATTTCTGCAAAACCAGCTTTAAACTGAGTGCCTTTTCTAAGCAGTGTAAGCTCACCATAGGTTTCGACATGAAACTGTACAAGGATAATGCTCCCTGGTCCAAATGCATCACTAGGAAGAGGATGGGAACAGATCCAGAAGTTAGAGACAGGTGTGAGGTTGCAGAATGTGATAACACAATCTTTTTTCACCTTTTCACTCCTCAGACAGTGCAAACAGCTTTCAACACCTCCTGTATCAGCCTCAGTTGACTGCCAACATTGAATGAAGAAAATGACCCTAATGTACATAGCTGCTAATCAGGCCAGCTCACAATAGCCTTACTGGAAAATGATCTATGTTTATTGTTGTTGTCTTTCCAATTGCTAAACTGTATTTTCTCATTACAGGAAAAATAAAATCTGGACAGGAACTGTAGTCTGTGAGACAAATATAACAGTGGTATAAAACAAATCAAAGAAAGAAGGACAGGGTCTTGGGTTGTTAAGTCAAAAATTAATTGCAGAAGACAAAAAAAAAGTGAAAATGTCATCATATAACTGAAGAATATACTTAGCATAACAAAAGAAACATAATAAATAAACATACTCCTTTGAATCTAGCTTGCTTAGTATGAAACACCAGTAAAACAGTACAAGGATATAGCTGTATTGATACATTTTATCAACTAGCTGGCCAGTGATTTATAGAAGTAATTGATAAGGTTAAAATTGAACTTACTTATAAAAGAGGTTTCTCCCAGGTAACCTCTCCGTTTAAGAACAACATCAAGATATCTGGAGTCTTCATTTACTAAATAATATTCCTTTTCTAAGGAGATCCACGCCCAGTTTAGGCGAAAATGTTGATTCTTCAGCTTATTGCCGCCTGCAAAACAAAATTAATATAATTAATATAATTAATATTAATTATTTTTTCTTTTTTGTTAAATACTACTTTGTCTTTTGAGGTTAATGTAACCAGTTTCCTGGGTAAGATGTGTACCTTAGCTGGACATTACAATCCAAAGGTTTTAAAGATTTAAAACTAAGAAATAACAAGTAAAGACCTAAACCATGAGACATTTAGTACATATAGGAGTAAATTTTATCTTAGATGCATACAAACTAGTCACATTCATTCCAGACTATGCTAATTTTCTTCTTTTTCATGGGAAAAAGAGCAAGAATCAATCACAATATATTTGGGATCTCTTTTTTAGAAATTACAAAAATTGTGGACGATCCAAGTTTCTGCAGAACCGTATTGGTATTTCCAAATAACACACAACGTAGGACATCACACAGAACTTCCTTGATATGATCAGACTGCCAGAAGCACTGGAAGACCCTTAGTATCCTGAGAGGCTGGAGATGATACCTACCATCTTTTAGACTGCATGCAGCCTGCTTCTAAAACTCAATATTTTGGTCACTAAATCTAACAATTTCTGCTCTTATTGGTTTAGAATTTATGCATCAGCACTGTATGATTTTAGCAACAACTTTCATATCTTCCTAGGAAATGGTTTCAACAAGATTAAGTATCCCCGATACATGCCACAGTTTATAGCTATGCTGATGCCCTCCTAAGCTTACATGCTTGTAACTCTTGGGCAAGTATGATTGCCTGTGTCACCTAAGAAGATTTAGAGAGATACAAATGCTTATTGGAATTCTCTTAAACTATTTTGCAATGACTTATCTTCATGATATCATGAATGCCCGCAAGTGAGCAAGGTGTTGAGATGTGTTTTGAGAGTCAATTTTCAATAGACCAAAAGATGTCCTCACAGTTCTTTTTACACAGGCACAACTGTAGCAACATGCTCCTGGTGAAGAAAGCAGACTCCAGTGATCCTTTCCAAGGTCTTTACTGTAGCAGTAGCACAACAGCTTCCCTGCAGTCTCACTGAACATGGGTGGTTTCTGTGCACTCAAACGCTGGGAACTGAAAGCACAGGACAGCAAGCAGTACACTCAGCTAGGGAAACTGAATGGTTAACATGGACCAAGTCAGCATCTCTGGCTGGCACCTGTTGATGGCATTGTCCTTAAGTTGAAGACTGCATTTCCTCTTACAGTAATCGGGACAACCTTCACAGTCCTTCTGAAACACAAATGCCCATATATTTATCAACAAAAGTAGGCTCCCTTTTTGAAGCCAAAGCAATACAGGAATACTGGAAGCATCCCTCAAAGTTTTGGAGGGGATGATATGGAAGTCATTTAACTCCAGCTGCAAAACACTAAGCACCAGCCTAAAATCTGCGCATGTCTCAGCCTAATCTCTTCCTCCCAGCAGAAATGAAGCTGTTTTGTCTACTGTTAATGGGATTTGTACAACTGTAAAACAACAGGAAATTTTTATTGAAATAGCAGGCTTCATGGAATTTTTCTTAGTCTAAAAAGCAATCTAGAAACAACAAATGCAAACAGATGGCATTCTAAGGTCCAGTTAAAAATGCTGCTTTTTTTTCAGTTGGAAAGGCAATAGCTGAAAAGAGCTAGCACCCATTTCATTGACTATAAGCCAAGTATTTGTACAACAGACTGAATATCTCAAATCAGATTAACACATTTCTGATAAAATATAGCATAGCTTTACTTTCTCATGTACAATTTACCTCCATCTGTTCACTGATTTTGCACAGTAAAAAGGCATTTCTTGTCAGTGTAGGGATTCTGGATGCCACAGATAAAAGGGCATGACAAATCAAGTTCTGTATCATCCTATTGGATATGTTTGTTATTACTCAGGAGAATCCTCTAATTTCCATAGCAAGAATAAAATAACCTGTTCAGCTCACTGAAGGCAGATGCTTACTTAGCAACTGTCTTCTGGGAACATTGGCTTGTTTGAGAGGCTGTAGTCTGATTTCTTTCCCACAAGGTGCTGCTACAGAACAAGGTTTGCTCAGGTAACAACTGTCTGAAATGTGCAAGGAATTCCCTTTAGAAATTCCCTTTAACACTTCTGTACACAAGTCAGTGAATAAAGTAATTCCTCTGAACAGCAGAGAAAGAGAAACATATCTAAGTATTTCACTTCACTCATGGCTTAATTACTGGAGAAAGAGCCAAATGGAGGTTGGTTTTCCTCTTCTAGTTTCTTCCATTCTATTCCTTGAGAAATTAGGCAGCCCTTCCATATGCTTCTACTCTGCTTCAAAGATAAGCCTCTATATCTCTTTATTGACCTGTCTACAAGAAAAAACCAACAACCATACTTGTGTAATCTCACATAAAGGCAATGGTCCTGTGTAAACAAAAGGAGGGAAATGGTTATTGGAGTATCACCCTGCACTCCTTGCCCTGCTTCTTTCTGCTCTTTTGATCTCTATTGTTACTGACAAAGGGGAAGGCTACAAACACACATACCAAAAACTGTAATGAGCATGACAAAAACCCCAGTAACTATAGTGTTAGCTATAGCTGCCCTTACATTAGGTTAGCCATATGTTATGTCTTCCCATTAGTTTATTGGGACAAATGCAACAGAATATGTCTTGCTCTTTCACCTAGTGAGAAAAGCCATTTGTGTGCCACCCTTGAACACACTGCCCAATTTAAACATAATTTGACAGAGGGATGAAAGTTTTTAAGATATAAAAGGAATGAAAATTTATTGCCAGTTAGAGGAGAGAGAACCTATTAATATCACTACTGAGAAAAAATACTGCTGCATGAGCTTACTAGAAATGAGAATGTCAGACACTGGAAACCCCCGAGGTGAAGGAAAAGCTTCTAGCAGAGTTTGTATCTTTTTAGACATAAGAGATTCCAGCCAGGGGTTGGAAGTAATATGAAATCCAGCATAATTTGTTGTACTGTCCAAATAACTAATAGTTTAAATGTATTGTGGACACAGGCACATGATCTACAGCTTGCTTACACACAGGTCTCTTGTGTTTCATCTCTAGTGTCTTAAATAGTACAACCTTAAATGTAATCTATATTTGCACATAATTACTGAACATATCAAAATTACTATACAAGAGAAAAAATCCCAGCTGTTAAAAAGGAACAGTCCTATGGAGAAATTTCAGTAGCCAACTACCAAACCAGTTCATTCCTGTCATTGATGCTATGGAAAATGTTGAAGTATACTGAGTTAGAAACCTAATGAGAGGATGAAATTCAGGAAGCAAAAAGCACAAGAAAGGCAATATGAAAGAAAGATTTAATATTGTCTTAATTCCACCTATTTCTTGCTTTCAGCAGTTTCTTTCTATTTTTTCTTAGCGTAAAAAAACCAAACCAAAACAAACAAAAAAACCCAAACAAAAAAGTATTATTTCTAGGGGGCTTTCAGCAAGCCTCCATTTCTACAGGCCTACTTCTGCCCCTGAAATATATATTGTTCACCTTTTAGAATGTGCAGTACTTAACCCATCAGATTTAGAATTTTAAGAAAAGAATATAGATATTTTAGATCTTGCTTTCTTCACTTCATGCTTTTTGTGTTCAGAAGAAATGTCTTCTAAATTATACAAACCATTTCATGGTCCAACGTCCCCAAAGAGTAAAACAAATGTTGTTGCTGTTGTTGTTGCTGTTATTACAGACCTGCAACACAGTAGAGCAGGAAGCATACGATACATCTTATCTAATTTCAGGTATTTATTTTTGGGCTAGAAATCCTAAACTGTCTTTACAGCTAAAACTGAGAAGGAAGCATTTTGCAAGGTTATGACTTATTTTAGGCATCTATTTTTGAATGAGATTAGCTGTGCCTCAAAATAGGCAGAAATATGTGCATTTTTCCTCAGCAGCTGTTAAAGATGCCTGTTGTGACCAGTTAACATTGCAGACATTTTTATTATGGTCATCTAATGCTGGGTAAGAAGACTTCCACCATGCCAGAACTAGATGAAATTGGGCCTTTTCTACAACACAGAAGAGCCAAGCACCATGCAAACATAAGGTCTGTAAGGAATATTAAGAGCATAGCTTTCAGAAATTATAAAATAACAGAAATAAAATTGCACATGCCATTTTAGTTTGGTTCTCTATTAAATTATCTCCCCTACAATAACATTTCTATAGACAAACTAATTTTGCATTGCTCACTAGCACTTCCCTTGGGCATAGTCAAACATTTAGCTTCTAGCCAAATAATTAAGGCACTGTAACTCAATGACAGTTTTGCTTTTGTTCCTCTCCCAGACAGGTGCTTGTAATACAAATACATCAGAAGTTTGCAGAGGGAAGCCATTACTAGAGTGCTTTTAAAAATAAACAAAAGGAAGGAGGGCCATGTTACAGCAAGGTAAATCTGAAGTAACTTTGCTTATATATCAATGAGACACAGTTGGCAAGATGTTGCTACAGTGATGCATGAAAACCTGTTTCTTGAATTTTGCCAGAGATCAGAGTGCAGCAGTGCTAAATCAGAAGATGCTAAACAGGACATGGCACAGTGAGACATTCACAAGAAATGAGATGGCAAGAGTTGTGAGACATAGTCAAAGGCTTTCTAAGAAGCTAAAGCTAAGGATCTGGAGTAAGGTGGGTCACAAAGCGATTTCATGATTGTGACTTCCTGACTGACTGAGGCTGCTGAGGACAATACCCTCTGAAAAGGTTTGCCTGAATATGACAATTCGAAGATGGATGTCACCTAGAATTGGTCTTTATGGGAGTCCTGTCAGCAAATTGGTCACCTGTCAGAAAACAGTGATGTATTATTTTTGCATAGGTCATCAAACCAGAAAGATCAAGTAATCTGGAAACTCCAGTTTCGGTTACTCAACATGAATAAAAGAGGAGGGAGAAGAGGACTTGGTCAGTAAACTGGTTAAAGGGAAAAATATTGAAATGAATATTCCCATTTAAGCATTTATCTTTCTAACCATGCTGCTCAGATATCTTTAAAAAGATATAAAA